GGGGGGGTCAAGCTGGAAAGGAGGATGAGAGAGTGGAGTTTGAAAATGAGAAAGATGAAGAATGTGGAAAGGAAATGGACACAGAGAGAACTAAAGGCTATAAAAAAAATCAAGTGCAGCCAAGGTATGATTAGAACGCAGAAAGAGATAGAGAGAAATAGACACTATCAAAGAGAAGAGCGACCTAAGTGCCAGAGGATCAAAGTGACAAATACTCCTCCTGTGACCCTGCAGCTCCCGTCTCTAATAGGAGGTCTGGGAGATTGAAACCTTGGCCAAAGTTCCTGAGGACTCTCAGTGTAGCCAAACTAATTTTGTCCTGTCATAACAAAAGACTGGGAGACAATCATTTGGATCTCACAATGGAGGAAAAAAAATGTATCAAAAACAGATGAAAGAAGGTAAAAGAAAGACCTGACATAATGGACATGCCTAATTCAGATCGGCAATCTATGATTTATCTTTCCCTTGAGTCTTCGTTATATAAATTGTCTATCATATAAAAAGGCAGACACACACCCCAAAACAATATGAGACAAGGCCTTCTAAGCTTTTTGTTCAGCCAATTGCATCTGTCAAAACAACCCTTTAATTATCAATTGAATAGCGTACTAAAACATCTTCTGTTGACATGCCAACGTATGGTAAAAGAATAAAGGCTAAATGACTGTTATTAAATGCAGCTATCTGGATCAAACACAGTGACAGCCAGGCTTATAGCACTAATACCAGTATAGAATTATGTTTCTGTGAGAGAGAACGAGTTGAAGTAAGTAACTTAAAATAAATGACCAGTAAAAAAAGAAACAAAAGAAAAACAAACAAACACAAAATCGCTCCTAGCTTAGCTACTCCTAGCTTAGCTACTCCTAGTTTAGCTACTCCTAGCTTAGCTACTCCTAGCTTAGCAACTATAGTGCTGGTCATTTGAGGTCTGTGTAGCTTTAAATTTCTCTACATGTTGAAACAGTAAGCAGGAGGGTAAGAAAAATATTTCTGGGATACAGAGCTGGGCAATCATTTTGTTCCTTTTAGCTACGAGAAAGACAAACTTTAACACTGCTGCTATTAGCCAACTTTACTTGCTAACTAGCATGTGATACTATACTGTATTTCCAAAAGTATTCATTCACCTATTCAAATAATTGAATTCAGTTGTTCCTGCATGGCTACTGGTGTATAAAATCAAATGGCTAGCAAACTGGTTCTAAAAATATTTGTGAAAAAGTGGGTCGCTCTCAGGTCGCTCAGCGAATTCTAGCGTAGTTTCGATGGGATGCCACATGCACAACAAAGTTGTGAAATTTCCTTGCATACCCCTTACTTTTCCAACATGAGTACACAAAGAAAGGTTCTTAAAGACATGGATAAGTGTGGAAGAACTTCACTGATGTGGAAGAACTTGACTGGCCTGCACAGAGTATTGAGCTCAAACTGATTAACAACCTTTGGGACAAATTAGAGTGGAGACTGTGAGCCTAACCTTCTGATCCAGCATCAGTGTCTGACCTCACAAATGCACTTCTGGAATAATGGTTAAAAAATTCTCACAAACACACCCCTAAAGCTTGTGGAAAGCCTTTCCAGATAGATGAAGGTGTTATATCTACAAAGGGTGGATTCATATGCATGTAAAGGCAGATGAGTGAATACTTCTGGCAAAGAAAGCAGGTGTGGAAAGAGTAGCTTAATGTCAGCTACATCCTCTTGCTTCAGATGAGGGAAATCTCCGCTCAGCAACATCATTTAAACTGCAGTAGTGTAGGATTTCAGTTTTCAATCCTTGTTTATGATTTGCTGTTATTGGTTGGGCTTCATTGTTGCTCCTTGTTTGTGACTAATGTAAGTTTGTGCTTTGATTCCTGTTTCTTAACATAAATTATTCCAGTATTTTGAGGGTTTTTTCTTTTGTTTTTAAAATTATAGTTATTGGTTAGTATTTATAGAGATTGTTATTTACCTTTCATTACTTGTGTTTTCTTTGTATATTGGTTTACCCTTCTAGCATCTGCAATGTTCTGTGTATCATGTGGACTGAATTTTCTGCTTATTTATTTATTTGTTACTCACTCTCTTGTGCCTTCTTTTGAATTATACTTTCCATCTGTTGACTGTCTTGATTGTGTACACCTGTGTCTGGGTTTACACAGCTGTATTCACTTCCCTTGATTGGCCCTTGGTGTCTGTTTGTGAGAATATACAGCCCTGGCTCTCTTTTGTCTTTGTCACTGTATCTGTGTACCATCGCTGTGGTCCTCCTTAGTGTCTAGCCTGTTAATTCCTGGAGGTTTTAGCTTTGCAGTTTGGTTCCTTCTGGATCTTAAAAAAATACCTTCAACTTCTACACACAACTTAATAAAAGGTTAGTTTTTTGTTGACTTAGGTTTTCTGAAACTCTTGGATTTGTATCTAATTCTAACCAGTATCCCTCTGAGATTTGATCACATTTATATGCATCCTAACACTAAAAACCTTTCTTTTCCCTTGTAATGTTAAAATTGAAACATACTCTTTGAAATCCCAACAAAAAGAATTAATCTTGCACGTTCAAAGCTTCAGCCGTTTAGCATATGTAGCCCATATTTGCCTGGAATATTAAAATGACATCTAGCATTTTCGTACATGTCAGGAAGCTAAAGTAGCTGTGGCTATCCAGCTACAGTTGATGCAATCTGCTGGCAATAGCAGTTATTCAGCTGAAAAAAAAAAATGTGTGAAGTGTGTGAAGTGAGGGATCTTCATTTTGAAAATGACTTGTGCTGTTTCTCACATTGCATACTCCTGCTTACTATTTAAGTGTGACTACATGCTGAGAAAAGGTAAAAAACAACAACAACACTGACAAAATTATCTGTTAAAAACCCACACTCAAAAGTTTCCACTTTGACTACAATGGAAGGAAAAGACCACCAAGAATTTTTTATCCACGGCTTCTAAACTAATTGTGATGCCACGTTATGGCTCGGTCACACGAAACTAAAAATAGTATGGCAATCTCCATGCAACTGGTGGACATTGCCCACAGATTGCATTGAGTTTTTATAACAACATATTTGCACAGGTGTGAAGGAACCTGTCTCTAAATTGCTCTCCAGCTGCTTACCAACTTCTTGTATTCTAGTTATATAAAGAAGCAGCAACTATGGAACTTTTTTTAAAGGAATTTCTGAATTTGTGTTTCACATCTATCAGGTTCTGGCTGGACTGCGAATGGAAGTAGTTAATATGAGTTTCTGTTTAATTCATCAGAGCCAAATGTTGCAAATTTCTATTTCAGTTTTATGCGTTCATTTCAAAAAAATGCTACCCTGTAAAAGTATGTATTACACAGATAAGCATGCAGTATACATTTTGTACTGGAACTATACTAACAATATTAGACACAGTGACGAATCATTGTTCGTTCACCATGTGTCAAACAAATGTAGAAAAGCTAACATAAAGAGGAAAAGTAACTAAACCAAGCAGAAACAGATTCTAGAAGAATAAAAAAGGAAATATGAAATGAAATGAAAAGCACTTTTTTTTTTTTACCTGTAACCTGGAAAGTGCATTTGCCTGCTCCAGCCTCATTGATGACATTACAGGTGTACTCGCCCCAGCCATCACGATTTAGGCTGCGGATGGTGTACTCTGTCTCATCTCGCTGGGCGTCAAAAGCTCCCGCGTGGAGCAGCCGGTTAGAGAGAAGCCACTCGAAGCGCAACACACGGGAGGGATGGGCTCGCAGCACTCTGCAGGTCATCACTACGGGCCTTCCGAGACCCTGACGCATCTCCATGAAAACAGGCTCCACTGTTGGAGGGTCTGAGCAGGAGACACAAAAGCTCAGGAGAGTTCACAGATATTTGACAAGGACAGAAAAGTGTGTCAAGGATGAAAAGAAAAATACTTTGGATGAATAAAGACAAGAAGAGTGAGGTTAGGGCACCAAAGTGAGAGCAACGACATACACCTGGAATAAAGAAAAGGTGATACATATGACATGAATATAACCTTGCATATTTAAAAACACAAACAAGGACATTTTTTAAAATGTAAAAACACACGCACAATGATTTCAAGCGATGTAGTTGATGTTCACTGACAATCTACAAATGACAAAGCTGAAAAGATGTTTTTTTAAATTAGAAAAAAAAACAGGTATTATAATATAAATGTAGCAAGTGAAGCAGCGCAGAGAGAGAGAAAAAGGTGATATTTAAGCAAACTGTAGAAAACAAACTAAACTGCAAATTCAATACACTTCACCAACAGATGAAAAATGAAAACAATTGTGGAGAGACCGGTAATAGCTGCCAGAAGATCCATTTTGCAAAAAGACTGGGACAACTTTTGAAACAAAAACCAGTTGAACTTCACAGAAAATTGGTTATCTGGATGATAAAACACACCTCAAACTTTCAGAAAGTAAAATTAATAACTTATTTGAGTAACTGACAGGCTTTACCTCATCCCCCCCCCAACGCATAGTACACAGTGGTAAATAATTTAGCCACGTTTCAGTGAGCGAAGTCAGGAGCTAAACGACCTTGCTGCAACCCCGAACTTGAATCTGCAAAAGTTTAATATGTGTGGGTGATGTTTTGCCAGACTGTGTGCACGGTGACACGTGTGGAGGGTTTTTTTTTGGGTGAACAAAATGGGTGTAAGCACTTGTGTGTGGAAGCACTGAAAAGGTTATGAATAATTTCCCCATTTTAAGCGTCTCTGCTCCTGACACGCTCATACAGATGCTTGACAAAAGTCACGGCGGGGCTTGAAAAACAACAAGAATATGGAGGAGCAGAGGCAGAATGACATGGAGCCGCTTAATTGCCTGAAATTTGCATAATTCCTGATGGAGTAAAGGAGAGGCGGTAGCTATAGCCAAGGCCGGGGTTGCTGTTTTTCAAAATGTAGTCTGTTACAGATCACTGATTACCTGATTGAAACTGTAATCTGCAACATAATCTTCGACATTATTCACACTCGGTAATATAATCTAATTACTGAGCCTTCCATATTTGATAGGGGAATGCAATTAAATGAACAGTGTATTAAAATTTACAGGATATAATTTGATAACAGTATTAACGTCATTATCCACAACCTTAATCAGCCATTTTTTTTCCATAGGTTGTGCAAAATTCTGAGGCTTTATTTTGACGGTTTGAACGTTGAATGTGTTTTCAGCAGAACCTTTTTTTCTCCGCTTTTGCACTTAATTGAGTTTGCTTCACTCCAGGATCTTAAAGCAGGGGCACGTCTATGAGGCCAGTCAAGTGTACAGGGAAACGTGGGATGTAAACATCACAGTGAATGCAAAATAACACACTGGCATAAAACGGTCCAAAGTGGGATTTTCCATTCTTGCCCTCAGTGCTAATTATCCCTCAACACACAGCATCCTGCTATTCACTCATGAGCCACAATGATTAATGACACACCATTAGATCAGATAATGAGCGGCTGAAATGTAAAAATAACAAAAAAAACCCTCATAACACTAGGTGATAGGAAGAGTAAACACAGATCTTTCAAGAGGTTTGGACTTAATGGAAATAGAGATACAAGTTTGTCTCCTTCACCTGATTTTGTTCACGGAGAGTAAAGTGGTTTTCATCACCTCTGAATGAAACAGCAATCAATTCCTTCTTCAATTGAGCATTGCCTGGGCTTTTACCCAAACCCAAAAGGCTTATCTCTGACTCCAAAAAAGGTCTGGAATTTTACTTATCACATTAAAATTGTAGGTTTGTGTGGTGCAGTGAATCACAGTTAGCTCCGCAGCCTCCCTGAGTGGCACTAGACCAAATTGCAGTAAGTGCAGTTCCACTCACACAGAGAGACAAATGAAGATGCAGCAAATAAAGAAAAAAGAAAAGGGAAAATCTCTTATATAACCAAAACATCCTTTAAACAAGGGCACATGCCTCATCACCCCCTGTGCATTTCCTGTGAAACAGCTGCCCGGCGAACTCGAGGAGAAAGGAGCAGAAAGGTCCTTTGTGATATTCCCTGAGCAGTGCTCGCCGTGGTTAGCGTAGCAGTGAGGGCGACGTGTGCTCAGAGTTGCAGTAAGTCGCAGGATCGGGGAAAACCCTGAGCGCTAGCTGAAGTGCAATCCATCATCAGTCACTAGTGGGCACCTTGACAGTAATGTGAAGAAAAACAACATTTAGGAGCGCTCAGGTCTTGTCCCCGTGGTCCATGAGCACGGACATCTACGGGGAGGAGGCCTGAATAAAGACTCACGTGTACCGAGAGGAAGGGGTGTGCATGTTTGTTTTGTGCATGGAAAGCTGAGGTGTATTGTGTCCACCTACGTTGCTGAAATACCGTCCGCTTGACTGGTTAACAATAAACTTGAGCTTCAATCAAAATGGATTCCATTTTTCTTCTGCCTGTTTCGAGTGGGGAAGTGTCAGACGTTTATTTGGTCCCTATTTTTCTTTCATCTATTTTCTTGTCTGGCAGTAATCCCTCAGGGCAGCCATCTTACATAAAGTTAAAGTACCCATACAATGATACAATTACAAATCGTTCATTCAAAATTAAAATTAAATGAGGCAACGTGAGTTTTTAAAATGTACTTCAAAGAAAACAAAAAAAGGCACTTAAGGCAGCATAAGAAATCCCCCAGACAAAATCTGTGACATTATTAGTCTAAGTTCCTCCCCCCAAAAAGTAGATATTAACAACATTATGGATTCTCCAATAACGAATGACCAGCACAACAAATAAAAACTGGTTTTCAGTACAGGAATGGTAAAAAGATATTGACTTGGTTGCTAAAGTGAATGGTGTATAGTGTTAATTTTCACTGCACTATTAACCCGAGATAAAACCACAGTTATGTTGGTATTATCTGATTTGTATCTGCAAACTAACATCTGATTCTCGGGTGTTCAATGTAAAAATAGTTAAGACCATCACCAAAATTCAATGTTTCATGATTTTACCCCCAATACAAAAGGAGCTGTTGCTTCTCAGTCTTGATAGGTTGACCAAAGTCAGTGGAAAAAAGTTGTGGAAATCTACATTATGCGAGATCAAAAACAGGGGAAAATGTTAAAATGCAGAGTGTTCTCTCTGCTACTGAGGTACATATAGCGTGGTGTAAAAAAGTGTTTGTCCCTTTACTTGATTTCCAAGTTTTTCATATTTGTCATACAAACACACCACGTTTCAGATCATCACACTAAATATTAGACAAAGATAACCCGAGTAAATTCAAAATGCAGTTTTTAAATGCCGATTTCTTCGATTAAAGGTTAAATGTTATCCAGACTTACCTCGCCCTTTGTGAAAAAGTAATTGCTGCTGTTGTTAAAACATGAAGTAAATGTAACCACATTTTATGAAAAGCTGAATTCAGTTTCACTAAACATGCTCAGGCCTGATTACTGGCAGACCTGTTGAAATCAGAAATTACTCAAATAGAACCTGTCTAACAAAGTGAAGCAAGCGAAAAGAGCTCAAAAAGCAACACATCATGCTATGACCTAAAGGATCACCTGAGAAACAAAGTCACTGACAGCCATCGGTCTGGAAAAGGTTACAAAGCATTTCTAAGACTTTGGAACTCCAGTGAACCACAGCGAGAGCCATTATCCACAAATTGAGAAAAACGTCGAATAGTGGTGAAACTTCCCAGGAGTGACCAGCCTACAAAATTTCTCCAAGAGCACATCAACAACTCATCCAGGAGGTCACAAAAGAACCCAGAACAACATTAAAGCACCGCAGGCTTCACATGTCTCAGTTAAGGCCAGAGTTCATGATTCAACAACAAGAAAGAGACTGAGCAAGAGAAAAATTGAAGGAGAAAACCACTGCTGACCAAAAATGTCTCACATTTGCCAAAAAAAACATGTTGATGATCCCAGAAACTTTTAGGAAAATATTCTGTGGACTGATGAGACAAAAGTTGAACTTTCTGGAAGGTTTGAGTGCTGTTACACCTGGAAAAGGAACATCATACCAGCAGTAAAATATGGTGGTGGTAATGTGATGGTCTGGGTTGTTTAGCTGTCTCGGGACCTGGAAGACTTGCCGTGGTAAATGGAGCCATGAATTTTGGCGTCTACCAAAACATCTTGAAGGAGAATGTTCGGCCATCCGTCTGTGACCTCAAGCTGAAGCACACTCGAGTTCTGTACCAGGACAAGGATCCAAAACACAACAGGAAGACCACCTCTGAATGGCTTAAGAAAAACAAAATGAAGACTTTGGAGTGGCCTATTCAAAGTCCTGACAGGCAGTTCATGCTCTAAAACCCTCTGATGCGGCTGAATTACAACAATTCTGCATGGATAAGTGGGCCAAAATTTCTCCACAGTGCTGTAAAAGATTCATTGCCAGTTATCACAATTTTGAAACTGCATTTTGTGTTTACTTCGGTTAACACGCACACACACACACACACCACTGTTGTGCTCTCATTATGCTACTAATATAGGGCTTAATAGCACATCTAAATTTATTGCAATTTAAGCATAGACAAACTAGACAAACCAGGAGAGGATTATGTGACATCGCAAGCGCTAACTGCTCAGATATTACTGATATGTTAGGCCCCAGTCACACAGGACTAGATACCAGCTGGCAACCTTCTGGCAATATCTGGTCACTAGGGATAAATATGTATTATCGAATTGGTGAGTCATTGTTGGAGGTTGCTGACTAGGTGAAATCAGTCCCAAAGAGATGTTACCCTAAAAGATTCCTTGTGATGCCTTGGTTACCATTTTTTGCATGCAACATGCAGATAGAAATGGCTGTAAACACTTGCTAACTCCCAGCTGGTTGGCAGTAAGACTTAA